AGAGTGATAGTGATAATGAAGAAGAGAAGAAATAAAAAGATAAAAAAAATCAGCAACAGAACAAAAATAATTGATAAAGAAATAAAAAGAAATTTTACGGTTTTTTTTTTGCAAACTTGTAGACGTAGATTTATGTTTTCATTATATATATATTTTTTTTATACTTATAGTCTATTTTTTCTATATTCTATATACACAATATATATAGAAATTGTAAGTGTCAAAAATATTTTGAAAGTTTCATTTTAAATGGTTTGGAGAATGTTTTATACATTGAGCTGCACAAAATTAATTCTTATTCTTCTCTTTCTTGTAATATTTTCATTTCTTTATTTTCATGATTTTTGAATTTCATGATATTATTTTTTTATTTAATCTTATCAAAGTTCCTGAAATATTTTTTAAAAACAAAATCATATGAAATATTACAAAAAATATAAATGTTAAATATACAAATATACAACAAAAACTAAATATTTGTATTTTTATTTTCTCGCATTTTTACATTACCATCTCTACATTTAAACAAAGATCATTTGCGGGAGGATATAGCGATCATATAACTTTTTCCCAAATGCAGAAATATAAAAAGTAAAAATTGTTATCTTATTGTTAGTGAAGATAACGGAGAAATTTTTTACTTTTTACCCTTATTCAAAAGTAGTCAATTTCCACCCTCTTGAAGTGAATTTCGCTCCAATTTTCTTTTTCTAAATTCTTTGGAGTGAAATTCACTTCAAAAGAATGAAATCTTGATTTAATTAATTATTAGAAAATTATTAAGAAAATGAAAATCTGCTACTCTTGAACAACAGCTTGAGAATATTTTCATTTTTTTTAAAGAAGCTCAGTTTTTACTCTTGCACAGAGATTTCACTCGAATAATTTTAAAAGTATTACATGATATATAACGATATAATATCCACGTCAATTAATGGAAAATGATATAAGTAGTATTCACGAACTGCATATCCACGTGAAAATCCAGTAAGATATCCTATGCGGATATTATGAGGAAATTCGTAGGAGGAAATGAATTACAAATATCGATTAGACTTCCACGTGGATTGTAGTATCGTTTTTAAGCGGATCGTCACTCAATTAATCACATAGAATCCACGTGGATTCTACGTACCTGTTCGCATTGTTATACAGGTGAATATTACAAGGAATTTTGTAGGAAAAATCGATTAGAAATATCGATTCGATTTCCACGTGGATTTTGGTACCGTTTTTGAGTGGACTGTCACTCGATGGTTCACGTAGAATCCACGTGTTAAACCACGTTGAATCTACGTCGAATCTACGTATATGTTCTCATCGGGTAGGCCGTTTGACTCCACCGAGCCTACTATAATAGCGATCAGTGAAGAGCGACACCCACAGATAATGCCAATCTAATTTAATCATAATTCGATCGCGTTAAGGAATTACTCGCCTAAGAGGAATCCGTCTAGGTTTTGTAGAAAAGGGGCGTATTAAGTCTCAAATACAATAAATTCGCTCGAAACCGCTCTAGATCCCCCACCATGTCGTGGTGAGTCCCCTAGACCTCATTAATCACGCAGTGTACGCGGAATGTTAAATTTTCTTGATTTCCCTTTTGTTCTTTCCCCCCTATACTTTTAAAAAAAGGGTCAAGCCTCCCACGACGCAACATTCTCTTTCATAATGTTACGCCCGTGCCATGCCGACACCGTAGATCGCCCGGACGTAACAATATATACACATGATAGATACTTTGACTCTCATTGGGGATGCTTTTTATTTTTCTTATTTTTCTAGATATTCATATTTTTTATATGATTCTGACTTTTCTTATTAATATGCTTCTTATTTATATTACTTTTCTAAGTATTATGTTCTTATTTTTATTTACGTTCATGTTTTACTACCATATACTACCATGTTATTATATCGAAATCTAGCAGCGCCAAGTGTTTTTACATGAAAAATTTTTCTATTTAAATTAAGTTTTTTCATTTTATATGGTTAATTCTTTAATTTTTTGTGGTAACACTTAAATTGAGCAAGGTACGCAATTTTGTGATGTTTCGTATAATGTTTTGAAGGAGAATTAAGGGGGGATCCCGGTTTAGAAGGTCAAAAAAAGGTGTATTTAAATAATTTTTTTTATATGGATAGAAATAACTAGACTAGTTTAGCTTTTAGGGATACTTTAATACACATTTTAAATGTACCAAAAAATTTTTTTCGGGTAAAAAAGTCACAAAATGGCGGCGTCCCAGATTAAGTAGTAAAATGCTTTCTCGCTACTGGTGCTAATTGGCGGACAAGATGTAGCTCGTGTTTCTTATCTGGAATGAAATATTACAACGATTTTTAATTTATTATATATTTTTCTTCTATTTAAACTAAAAAAAAGTATAGAAAATCTCGAAAAATATACAATTTTTTCGTTTTGAAAGAAAAATGTGCATTTTTACGGTACGTACAATTATATTTGATGGACTCTAAAAATTGTTAAACAATTTTTTTTTACAAATGTTTTTAGTTTAACTTGAAGATAATTTTATTGTGAAAAGAATACACTTTGTTTTATTTTGATTGCTCTTATAGTTTTCGTGTTATCGTGCTCGCCAATTATGTTAAAACGTAAAAATAAAAATTGGAGAAAACGCGTTTCAAAGTTTTCAGTAAGAAAGTCTTAAATTATTGGATACTTACATAGGTTAAAAATACGTCGAATTAGCCCGTATAACTTTCGGAACTTATTCTTGAATAGTTTATCTATCGATTTATGCAATAAAACAAAAATAGATTTTTTTGACCTTCTAAACCGGGATCCCCCCTTAAT